AATCTAGTGGAATTTTGTGTTAATTTCAACTTCTTCAAGTATCAGGACAACTGTTACAAACAATGCTTTGGGATGGCAATGGGCAGCCCACTCAGTGCTGTGCTTGCCAACCTCTTCATGGAAAACCTGGAGACAGAGAAATTCAGCACTCTCATTCCCAACACCGTTACCTGGCTAAGATACGTTGATGATATATTGGTTTTCTATCCAAGACGTCTCAATATCCAGGCCCTTCTCAACAAGATCAATGCAGTTGAACCATCAATAAAGTTTACACTTGATCTCAAAAATGATGGCAAACTTCCTTTCCTCGACGTTCTACTGTGCAGATCTCCCGACAGTGACAAACTTCTCTTCAAAGTGTATAGAAAACCTACCAACAAGGACAATCTTATACACTTTTATTCACACCAAGACACCCGCACTAAGAGAGGAGTCCTCATTGGCTTCTTCTTGAGAGCTCTTTGCATCTCCAGCCCTTGTTTTCTAGAAGAAGAATGCACTTACATAACACAAGCCTTTACACATCTTCAGTTCCCATCTTTCTTCATCCGAGATTGCAGACTCAAGGCACAAGCTATCCTCAACAAACCGCCCATGGAACAGCCCCCTAAGCAGTTCATAGTACTCCCATGTGGCGATGTTGCCACGAATACTCGCCGGGCACTTGCTATGAGTAACATCAATGTTTCAACCATAAACCCATCATCTATCAAAGACCTCACTACGAAATGCAGCCCCACACCACTAGCTTCTACAGCAGGCGTCTACACTATCCCCTGTGGGTTCTGTCCCAAGAAATATGTAGGCGAGACAGGCAGAGATCTTGCAGTCCGCCTGAATGAGCATTGAAATGCCTCTAACAGAGACGATGTAAGGTACGCCTGTGCCCTCCACAGAGACTCCACGGGGCATTTGATGAACTGGAATGAGGCACAACTCGTTCTCACCGAACCAGACCTCAGACGCCGACGGTGCCTAGAAGCCTCACTAATCGCCGTCACCGACACTATAGAACGCAACACTGGAAACTACAAAATATCAAAAACATTGGCATACATGATACTTAAGCAGCACCAACCCAACAACACAGGAGTCACATGATTTCATCGTCTACCTGTCCTCATCATAGGTAGAGGTTGTTTTGATAAGGACCTGCCTCGCATGAGCCAGTAGGCCTTCCACAGTGTTCCTCCATTCTTATGTTCTTATGACATTCCTCAGGTCACGTGCGTCACACCTCACTTTTCGCCTATATATATAATGTCTTTCTACCTCTGTATGTTAGAAGTGATCAAGGTCCCAGGACCGAAACGTTTTCTAATAAATATGTTATAGTGTTTGCTTACGTGTCTTTCTAAACCAACTTGACGGTATTTATTACCAAGGTTTATACCATAAATACTGTATATTAAACAACCATGGTGACATTACGCATCCCTGTCTAAGACCTACTTTTACCGGGAAGTAGTCTCCCTCTCTTCTACACACTCTAACCTGAGCATCACTATCCTCATAAAAACTCTTTACAGCATTTAGTAACTTACCACCTATTCCATACACTTGCAACATCTGCCACATTGCTCCCCTATCCACTCTATCATATGCCTTTTCTAAATCCATAAATGCAATAAAAACATCCCTACCTTTATCTAAATACTGCTCACATATATGCTTCAATGTAAACACTTGATCTACACATCTCCTACCCACTCTAAAACCTCCTCACTCATCTGCAATTCTACATTCTGTCTTGCCTCTAATTCTTTCAATAATAACCCTACCGTACACTTTTCCTGGTATACTCAGTAAACTTATTCCTCTATAATTTTTACAATCTCTCTTGTCCCCCTTCCCTTTATATAAAGGGACTATACATGCTCTCTGCCAATCCCTAGGTACCTTCCCCTCTTTCATACATTTATTAAATAAAAATACCAAAATTCTCCAACACTGTCCCCCCCCCCTCTTACTTTTAACATTTCTGTCATGATCCCGTCAGTTCCAGCTGCTTTACCCCCTTTTATTCTACGTAATGCCTCACTCACCTCCCCCACACTCACATCCTGCTCTTCTTCACTCCTACAAGATGGTATACCTCCCTGACCAGTGCATGAAATTACCGCCTCCCTTTCTTCGTCGACATTTAAAAGTTCCTCAAAATATTCTCGCCATCTACCCAAAACCTCCATCTCCCCATCTACTAACTCCCCTTCTCTGTTTTTAACTGATAAATTCATTTGTTCCCTAGGCTTTCTTAACTTGTTTAACTCCAAAAATTTTTCTTATTTTCATTAAAATTCCTTGACAGTACCTCTCCCACTCTATCATCTGCTCTCCTTTTGTACTCTCACCACTCTCTTCACCTTTCTTTTACTCTCCATATACTCTACTCTTCTTATAACACTTCTGCTTTGTAAATACCTCTCATAAGCTAACTTTTTCTCTTTTATCACGCCCTTTACTTCATCATTCCACCAATCACTCCTCTTTCCTCCTGCACCCACCCTCCTATAACCACAAACTTCTACCCCACATTCTAATACTGCATTTTTAAAACTATTCCAACCCTCTTCAACCTCCCCCTCCCCCACTATGCATACCTGCACTAGCCCACCTTTCTGCCAATAGTTGCTTATATTTCACCCGAACTTCCTCCTCCCTTAGTTTATACACTTTCACCTCCCTCTTACTTGTTGTTGCCGTTTTCCTCTTATCCCATCTACCTCTTACTCAAACTGTAGCTACAACTAGATAATGATCCGATATATCAGTTGCCCCTCTATAAACGTGTACATCCTGGAGCCTACCCATCAACCTTTTATCCACCATTACATAATCTAACAAACTACTTTCATTACGTGCTACATCATACCTTGTATATTTATTTATCCTCTTCTTCATAAAATATGTATTACTTATTACTGAACCTCTTTCTACACATCGCTCAATTAAAGGCTCCCCATTTTCATTTACCCCTGGCACCCCAAATTTACCTACTACTTCCTCCACAATATTTTTTCCCACTTTGGCATTAAAATCCCCAACCACAAGTACTCTCACACTTGGTTCAAAATTACCCATGCAATTACTCAAGATTTCCCAAAATCTCTCTCCTCTATACTTCTCTCTTCCCCAGGTGCATAAACACTTACTATAACCCACTTCTCGCATCCAACTTTTATTTTACTCCACATAATCCTTGAATTAATACATTTATAGTCCTCCTTTTCCTGCCATAGCTTATCCTTCAACATTATTGCTACTCATTCTTTAGCTCTAACTTTATTAGAAACCCCTGACCTAATCCCATTTATTCCTCTCCACTGAAATTCGCCCACCCCCTTCAGCTTTGTTTCACTTAAAGGCAGGATGTCCAGCTTCTTCTCATTCATAACATCCACAACCATCTCTTTCTTATCATTCGCACAACATCCACGCACATTCAAACTTCCCACTTCGACAATTTTCTTCTTATTCTTTTTAGTAATTTTTACAGGAAAAGGGGTTACTAGCCCATTGTTCCCAGCATTTTAGTCGACTTTTACAACACGCATGGCTTACGGAGGAAAGATTCTTATTCCACTTCCCCATGGATATAAAAGGAAAAGTAATTTGAACAAGAACTAAGATAAAATCAAAGAAAACTCAGATGAGTGTGTATAAATTAATGTGTACATGTATGTGTAGTGTGACCTAAGTGTAAGTACATGTAGCAAGACGTACCTGTAATCTTGCATATTTATGAGACAGACAAAAGACACCAGCAATCCTACCATCATGTAAAACAATTACAGGCTTTCATTTTGCACTCACTTGGCAGAACGGTAGCACCTCCCTGGGTGGTTGCTGTCTACCAACCTACTATCTATGGTAAATAATAGGTGTGGGTTTTTACAATTGCAATCCAAACAGTAAATAGCAAATACTAAAAATAAATGGCAAATAATGTAGAGATGTATATTATGGTTTAGGATAAAGCAATTTTGAATATTTTACTTGCCTTCCTTTCAGAAATCATCATCATCATCTTGCCTTTAACCTTTGATGTCACATGGTTGAACCTCATTCATCATTTTTTGCAGAGCTCTTAATTTTTCCATCAGTACTACAGATACACCACTGATTTTTTTAGGACTGGATAGTCTGGCATCTCTTTGGATCCAGACAAAATTATAAGGGCAGCCACAGATGTCATTATGTGTTGCATGTGGTCACTTTTGTCTACACTGCAGTTGGTGGTGGTGATTCCTTGATTTTGTGTGATTCTTAGATGAATTTGTGAAGCTTATAGCTGATGAGCACCTCAGTCCCAATTGGGTGTATAATGCAGACGAAACATCATTAAATTGGTGATTCACACCTAGGAGGACATTAACAGCAGAAAATGAAGCGCTCACGGGATTCAGACAATCTTAGGGTTCTCAAACGCAGCAGGCATACATGGATGTAAGCCACTAGTTATCAGAAAAAGTAAATGCCTCCTTCAACATCACAGATCCATGATGAAACGGTCAACTATGAAACCATTATCGTGTCAACCCTCAACTTCAGAACTTTGTGATTAACTCTACAGTTCCAGTAAAATTTACCACTTTGGGAGTGGAAGTACTACAACATTCTTTGTAAGTACAGTAATTAATAAACCTGTTTCATTTATACTAATGTTTAATCTAAGTTTCTAGCAGTCCATGGTGCTTTACAGACACGAGAGTTGTATAATTAGTTGGTCAGAGATCTATCATTGAATTATATTATATGACCTCTGTTGGTCTGGCAGAACGGATAATCCAACAAGGCTTTGGAACCAAAAGTGATGGAAAATCAGTGGTGTACCTGTATTAGCAATAGGATTGATTGCCAGGCCATAAGTTTCATGCTGAATTCCTCGTTCTTAAGAATTGTAACTTATCATACAATCTCTGACATCGACAGGTGCAAGCCCTAGAAAAATTTAATAATCTAATATTTGATGGGGGATTTTATTGACTTTTGAACAGAATCAAACTGGTCAAGGGGCTCTCGGTGTTATGAGGGCTGGAGAAACCTCAGTGGCACACGGAGCAAAGAGCGCTATCATGGATCAGCGATATTCAAATATGAATGATGGGTATGGAGAGAACTTTACTTTCATATTTTGTGCTTCAGTGAATCAGTCAAGTTTCTTTAATTCTCATGATCTTAAAATGTCCCTTTGACATGGTAAAAAAAAAAGATTAAATGATGTGAATTTAATCACGTTCTAAACTGTGTTCATTTTTTCTCTATTCTGTGTATTGCTTTTAGAGTAAATTTTGTGGAGGATATATCCCATTAAGTTTTAGAATATTGTTTAATTTTGTACTATTAAATGCTCCAGCTTAAAGATTATAATAATGTCAGGATAATAATATTTTGCTCATATTAAATCATGTGAATATAATATAAATATTTCCAGAGGTAACCGTGGTCAGAAGCGAAATATAGACAGTCTTGAGTCTGATGAAGAGGAAGAAGTTCCTGATGAAGTGAGGCTGTACGAAGATGGTGCCAAAGAGCGCTATTATGAATCAAAGTTTGAAGTTAAGCGAGATAACTACGAGTTCAGAACACGAGTTGCTGATGAATATGCTCGTGGTTTATGTTGGGTTTTAAAGTGAGCTGTAATTGATTCTTTTTGTAGTTATTATGTAGAATTTATGATAATTTATTCTCAAGAAATTACTTACTGGTTTAAACATTTTTATGATGTTTACTTTTTATTTTTAACACATTTTTATCTGCAGGTACTATTACCAGGGATGTGTGTCATGGGATTGGTATTTCCCATATCATTATGCACCCTTTGCCTCAGACTTCACAAACTGTGCCAATGCAAATGTTAAATTTGACATTGGTGAACCATTCAAACCTCTTGAACAGCTCATGGGGGTGTTCCCTGCTGCAAGTCGTGATCATGTTCCTGAGCCATGGGGCCAATTGATGATTGATCCAGAATCAGATATTATTGATTTTTATCCTGAAGACTTCAAAATTGACTTAAATGGGAAGAAGTTTGCTTGGCAAGGTGTTGCCCTCCTGCCTTTTGTTGATGAAAACAGGTAAGGAGAGATTCTGGATATAGCATGTTTATATGTTAAAAAATAACAGAATGAGGGTATATTCCAGATTGTTTAATTTAAAATAAAATTTTCACAAATTTGATAAAAATAGTATTAAAAAAACAAAATAGTAAGTACAATTTTGTTGTTGTATAGGGAAGGCTCTTCAGGCAGTCTTAAAATATATGTTAAACGTTTCATTTTGCTTAAAAAAAAAAAGTTTCATGTTACTGCAAATCATTAAATTGTGCAAACCTAGTGTCCTGTCTTTAGTAAGAGCTATGGAGTTTACAAAATGAAATCATTCAAGATTAATTAATCATGTTATGTACAGTAAATATATGTAAGCTAATGATAAATACCCCACACACTGGGTTGAAATCAAATTGTCAGTTTAACCTATCTTAGATCATAGTTATGGGTTTTAATGATGTACCTTTCAATGCCCATAACTATGATCATAGTTATGGGTTTTAATGGTGTACCTTTCAGTGCCCATAATTATGATTATACACAAATAACCCGCACATAGAAGAGAGGAGCTTACGACGACGTTTCGGTCCGACTTGGATTATTTACAAAGTCACACTAACCAGAAGTGGAACAGAAGTGCTCCACTTCTGGTTAGTGTGACTTTGTAAATGGTCCAAGTCGGACCGAAACGTCGTCGTAAGCTCCTCTCTTCTATGTGCGGGTTATTTGTGTATCGTTCCAGTCATGATATTGTGCCCCTTTTTTGTTAATTATGATCATAGTTATGGGTTTTGAAAACATGACCTTCAATACCCGTACCTCTTGATGCCAGTGAAAGGCTCTTGATCCAAGTAATTTGAGCTATCCTTCTTTGGATCAAACCTGGTTACTTCCCATCCATCAGGCACTGTATGGTCCCTGTGGATTCAATTTTTCCCAAAAATTATAATAATTTGACGCTGTATATTTTTGGTTGATTGATTTGTTTATTAACAGATTAAAGAAGGCCCTTAGTAAAGTGTATGACTTACTGACTCCAGAAGAAAAGCGACGTAACACGAGAGGTGATAGTCGCATGTACATCAGTGTCAAACATGAAGCATTTAGCCAACTCTCGGACATGTACCGCATGGGGATGAACTTGAATACAACTGTACGTTTAAATGCTTTATCTTTTTGCATAAAGTTATACAGTAAACCCTCTTATAACACAATCAAAAAAAGTGCAGCTGAGAAATTTGATGAAGCATGAAAATTTTGAAGTTACCTAATTGCTGTGAAGTATTATAGAATTAGCTAATGCATGAAATGCTGATACTGCATGCTGTGGTGCACAGCTCTTTCTCTCCTACCAACCACCCATACCACCTAGAGTTGCATTCCAAAAGTGTCTTGTGGAGAAGTGAGTGGGGTGCTGAGGATATATACTCAAGAAAGAACTTGTAACAATGAATTTAGGTTAGGATGGGCCATGCCTGCACTCTGAGGGAGGGGTGAGGATGTTGCAATTGGAGGATAAGCTGAATAGTGATGTTAGTGCATCACTGCTAAACAGTGATTGAATGAATGATGGTTAATATGTTTCCTTATTTGGGTCACCCTGCTTTAGTGGGAGAGGGTCATGAGGTAAAAAAATTTGATTAAGAAAGGCTATATGAAAGTGTTAGTTTAGCGCTAGAGTTGAGGATAAGTGACACAGTCTACTAAGTAAGAATTGTTGGATAGTTTTAATAATAGGTTGAAAAAACATGATGAGAAGGGTTGGGTTTGAGAAGGATCTTCTTAGCATGGATCAGTAAGCTTATTGCAGTGCTCCTCCATTCTTATATTTTCACTCTATTTATCATGTTTTTTGGATATTTTTCATTACTATATCTGGCTCTGGATATTAACCATGGTACCATAGAGGTATACAGTACTACTGATGCTAAGAAGATTAGGCATGAATCTTTGACAGTAAGACCTCTACTTATATTCTTCCACACTTAGGATATTGGCACTTTAGAACATTTTTTTTTTTTTTTTTTTTTCTTCAACAAGTCGGCCGTCTCCCACCGAGGCAGGGTGACCCTAAAAGAAAGAAAATCCCCAAAAAGAAAATACTTTCATCATCATTCAATATTTCACCTCACTCACACATAATCACTGTTTTTGCAGAGGTGCCCAGAATACAACAGTTTAGAAGTATATACATATACAAATACACAATATATCCCTCCAAACTGCCAATATCCCAAACCCCTCCTTTAGAGTGCAGGTATTGTACTTCCCATTTCCAGGACTCAAGTCCGGTTATATGAAATAACCGGTTTCCCTGAATCCCTTCACTAAATACAGTGGACCCCCGACTTACAATCAGCTCCCAACTCGAACAGTTATGTAAGTGCATTTTGTAAGTGCTTTTGTAAGTGTATTTTTGGGGGTCTGAAACGGACTAATCTAATTTACAATATTCCTTATGGGAGCAAATTCGTTCGGTAACGGCACCCAAACAGCCTTTTGGAACGAATTAATATCGTAAGTCGAGGGTCCACTGTATTACCCTGCTCACACTCCAACAGCTCGTCAGGTCCCAAATACCATTTGTCTCCATTCACTCCTATCTATCACGCTCACGCACGCTTGCTGGAAGTCCAAACCCCTCGCCCACAACACCACCTCTACCCCCTCCCCTCCAACCTTTTCGAGGACGACTACTACCCCGCCTTCCTTCCCCAACAGATTTATATGCTCTCCATGTCATTCTACTTTGATCTATTCTCTCTAAATGACCAAACCACCTCAACAAACCCTCTTCAGCTCTCTGACTAATACTTTTAGTAACTCTACACCTTCTCCTAATTTCCACACTAAATTTTCTGCATAATATTTACACCACACATTGCCCATGGAACTATCATTATTAATTTCTCATGAATTCTGATCTGTAGGTATTATTATTGCAAATATTGAAACCAGTTTTTTTTTTCCAGATGCATTCATACTTTATGTATGTTCATTTGTTTATACAGAAAACTCGTATTTAATTAGTAGAGATTGATCAAGGTCTATAGTTTTATACAATTTCCTTAAGGCTAAATTATAAAGTTTTTTGTTTTGTTTACCAAATGCATTGGTATTCTAAGTATGTTCATTTTATGCATGTATGGAGAATTTAATGTCTTATGATAGAGATTGGTTAATCCTTTCAGGGTCCGTGCCGTAGTACATGATGAGCTCGCCTCACTCAGATAAGCTGTGAGCGGTAAATTTGGGACTAAATATGATAGAATGGGTCGATACAGTAAGTGTGCACCATATAAAATAAATCTTGCAGCACACAGTGCATAAAAAGGAAAAAATAACTGTGACAATGTTTTTGACTTAAAGCAGCAACTTTTCAATGTACACCTACCATCCGACTTACGACCGAGTTTGGTTCCGAGAAACCGGTCGTAAGTCGAAATGGTCGTAAGTAGAACTTTACTACTGAATATCAACAAAACATTTTTGTAATGACTATATTTTATTGTTTTATTTTGGTATTTCATGTTTTACTTTACTTTTTATGCTGTTAGTACTGTATTTTATACTGTAAGGTTTAGGATAAACACTGTGTACAACACAAATAGTTGTTTATTTCCCAGAAATTTGGCATAAAAAACACGGTCGTAAGTTGAGTGGTCGTAAGTCGAGCAGGTCGTTAGTCGGATGGTAGGTGTATTTTCGTATGGTTTTTATGGCTGTATTCTCAGTTTCTCGGTCTCATTTGATAGAATGGAGAATATATTACAGAACCTATATCAGTATAGAGTAAGACTTAGTATTAGTCTGCCCGAAATGCCTAGGCATGCTAGTGGCCTTCTTTGTAATTAATACTTTATAACATGTAAACCACACATTGTAAGCTTTACAGGGAAATAAACATTGTCATTATCATTGAAATAGATATGATTTTGATGGTTTTGAGGACTCAAAATAGCTTGGAATTGAGCTCAAAGTAACGGAAATGTTTGCTTTTTGCTGATGCTCAACAGTAAACAAATCATGTCATTCGTCCAATGGATCTGGTGGATCTAATGTGTTCACAATTTTTTTTTTTTTTCAACAAGTTGGCTGTCTCCTACCGAGGCAGGGTGACCCAAAAAAGAAAGAAAAAATCTCCGAAAAGAAAATACTTTCATCATCATTCAACACTTTCACCTCACTCACACATAATCACTGTTTTGCAGAGGTGCTCAGAATACAACAGTTTAGAAGCATATACGTATAAAGATACACAACATATCCTTCCAAACTGCCAATATCCCAAACCCCTCCTTTAAAGTGCAGGCATTGTACTTCCCATTTCCAGGACTCAAGTCCGGCTATATAAAAATAACCGGTTTCACAAATATGCTGATATTATTTATACAGTTATTACAATATTGCATGACAATAAATATTTTTTGTGTGAATAAAAATTCTTTGAATAAAAAATCAAGATGGAATTCATATGTAAAGCCTCGGAACGTAACTGATGAAGAGAGGAAATGTTATTTTAGTGCCAGGAATACCTGCATGGTTTATTCTGAACCCTATTTTGAAATTGGAATATTTTTAAATTTGTCAAATTGGCCAAATTACCAATTTCTGATCACTTTATTGGGTAGTTGAAATAGTTGATTGGACGGTTTCTTGTGCTCAATTAATAAAATAGAAGGCATACTAATGAAATAGCTAAGAATTTTGTCAACTGGAACAATGTATTTGGCCTAAAATAGGAGTCAAAGTGGGCAAAATCACCACTGCATGGATATCACTGACAGCAGAGTTTGCAATAGCGTAATTTTGTCAGCTTTCCATCAAATTTTGTACCTTTTGTTTTATTACTTTCAGAAAAAGATTCTCTACCATTTCATAAGAAAAAATAAAAATTTTGTTTGAAAATTCTTGGACCCTGTGGACAAGTTTCATATTGGGTGTCTGGACCCTGAAAGGGTTAAGAAATGTAGATTAAATAATTACTGTCTTTCCTAGTCAGCACCACTGCTGCCAGCATACTGGATATACTCACGAGTGAGGCACAGGACTGAGGACTTAAGCTACACGTTCCCCTTACACATCCTCACCATTACCTTCTCACAGGCACTGTACTTTCTACCTTCAGAACTGAAGTCCAGCTAGCCAATTTCCCTGAATCCCTCCATACATGTTACCTTGTTTACACTCCAACAGCATGTCAAGTCATAAAAACCACTTGCTTTCACTCCTCTCTAACATACTCTCGCACACCTGTTGGATGTCCGAACCCCTCGCATACAAAACCTTGTTTACCCCATCCCTCCACCCTTTCTAAGAACAACCCCCTACCCTGCCTTCCCTCCACTACAGATTTATACACCCTCTAAGTCATCCTATTTTGCTCCATCCAATAAATAAGTTATTGACAACCCTGGACTTTTTTTTTTTCCTTATAGGCAACATTGGTACATAGACTGTGACACATGTGTTTGTAACAGATAGGTGAGGATATTATAGTTAGGTGACTCATTTGATATGCATCTGTAGAAAGACAGTTAAGGAATGAGTGATGGTAGATGTGTTTCTTTCCTTGGGTCACCCTACCTGTTTCTTCACATATATAATCTATAGAATAATATGAAATTCAGCAATCCATTACCATGTTTTGGAGGTAAAAGAATCATACACAGCACTTCATATATTTTTATTCCTAATGATTTTGGTGTTGGTAAATGCTGCCACTTTGAGCAGCTTTTATAATTTTTGAGCTATAAAGGGTTTATGAAATTTTTACTAGTGTAAGTTGTAGTGTTTGAAGAAAAACTAATTTTACACACAAGTATATTTGTATTCTTTGGTATACTGGTATTGATGATCAGGAGTACTTCCTCCTATCACCCATGAACCTTCTTTAATGGGCAGCATTTTGTTTTCAGGTCCCAGTATCTGGCAAAGAATATCAAGGCATGCAAGGAACTGTACTTTTGGCAACAGATTGTGTGGAACCTAATGGGTAAGCTTTATAGTTGAATGTTTCATCTGTGTGTAGTATAATTTTAATGGTGTCTGTATGCTAAACTAATGATAGTACATTGCTTTTGCCTCCTATAAGACGTTTGATGACATTTATTGAATGTACCTAAAAAATGTGGTATTATTATTATTTTACTTATAAGAAGAGAATTTGCTGAGCCTATTTACATTTAGAGATGAAACCACAGAAATTTTTTAAATGCATCTTTCAGGAAGGTAGAGAAGGGTTAAGTTAAAAAAAACATGGTGGTAATCAAGAAACATAGTGATAATAAAGATACTAATAAAGAAAGATAGCAATAATAAAAACTTGTAATGCTTCCAAAATAGTGTTCAGATAATTCAGGAGCAGTTGGCCCATGTACATTATCCGCTCAGTAGAAGTATGCGGAGTTCTGTTAGTATCTGGGACATGTCAGAGTCTTGAGTAATAACAGACATACTCGAAAGCAGTGGCTGTGCTATTGAGCAATTATTGCTACAAGACCATGTTTATGGTGTTACATATTAAGTGTTTACTCTGTTATATAATTGTTTTACATTTCTAGTGGTTGTAGCACTATCTTTTGTATACTTTTAAGGGAAAGGAAGGGATGCCTTGATGCTGGTGGAGGAATTGGAGCCACCTTTAACCTCCTTGGATCAAACTTGTTTACCTTCCTTTCCCCAGGTGCCGTATGACCTATATGGGATTTGCACATTCCATGACAATAATACAGTACAGTAAAACCTCTCACTAATGGACTTCTCATTAACAGATTTTGGTAATTTCAGACAAAAAATTGGCTGGACAAAGGGAAGAATTGGACAGAATGACAGTTTTTTATTTTGTCCATAGCAATAGTTCAGAACTCAACCAGACACTATCTGACTGACATTTGTCCTGTATGGGTCAGAGCAGTCACGTCCAGTACCCTGGGCAGTAGGCCACCCACACCAACTTAGTTTGTAACTCACACACACTTGTCATTCAGTCTCTAATTTTCCCTGGATTTAGAGCATCTTGTGTTTTTCTAAACCACTTTTCTGTAGCGCAATTATATCAGGATAAAGTTTGCAAGGCTGAATATACACATACAATACACTTATTACTTGTTTTAAAATATATTTATAGTCTTAACCCTTCGACTGTCACAAGCCCCTTTCTGAAACTGTCATTCTATGTCGCAAAATTTTTGGAAATTTTTTTTTTTTCTTATGAAATGATAGAGAATCTTTTCCCGATGGTAATGATACCAAAAGTACGAAGTTTGGTTGAAAACTCACAGAATTACGCTCTCACGAAGTTAGCGGTCTCGGTGACATATACCCATTGGTGATTTCGCCGACTGAGCCCTGTCTTTGGCCAATTCTGTTGCTCCAGTTGACCAAACTCATAGCTATTTCTTTAGAACTCCATTTTTTCTATCAATTGAGTACAAGAAACTGCCCATTTACCAATTTGAGCTACCTAATAAAGTGGTCAGAAATTGTCAATTTGGCCAATTTCACGCAAATTAATGAAGATGCCAATTTCAAAATAGGGTCCAGAATAAACAGTGTAGACTTTCTTGGCACTAAAAAAAATATATCCTCTGTTCATTAGTCACGTCTCTAGGCCCCTCTTTTATAACTATTGCTTTCTATTTTGATTTTTTATTCATACAAAAAATACAAAATTTACTGTTATGCAGATTACTGCATTATTGTAGAAATGGTATAAACTATCAGTGCACTAGTGAAAGAATATTAGACTCCCCAGTTGACGTGTGTTGGACTTGTGGTGTGATTTGCTTACTCCTGAACATTGGTAAAAATCGAACATTTCCGCTACTTTGAGCTCAATTTCAAGGTTGTTTTCATCATGAAACTAATCAAAATCATCTCTATTTCTGTAATGTGTTTTCCATTTTATCACGTGAGACCATGAAAACGAGAATACAATGATAAATACTATACGAAAATACACCTCAAGTTCGGTGTTTTAATCCAAAAAAATGGTCAGTTTTTTTTTTTCTCATGCACTGCGTGCTACAGGATTTTTTTTATGTGGTGCACACTGACCACACAGATCCATTCTCTCACATGTTGGCCTACCAGCTTTCTCCTGCTTGATTTGAAGCCGCTAGAATTTACGCATATAAATACGTCTGAAACAGTGCCGTGTAAGACCAAAACAGTCAAAGGGTTAATGTAGGGTGAGAGGTGAGTATTTATTGTAGAAAGTCAGGTGTGGCAGCTCACCTGGCCACTACACCTACATGAAACATATGACATTTAAAGCACCCCAGAGCAGTTATTATTATTACCACCATCGACATACCTTCTTCACTGAATTTAATAATTTCTAACTACTACCCTTAGATGCCATCATGAACTAGAGAGAATGAGTCAGTGGGAGAGTGGCAGAGAATGTAAACAAACTGACAGATGCATATTAATTCCTGTCTGCTTTCGGTTCACACGTGTTCATTTCACATACATTTGTGAAACTTTTACCACAATACAGACACCTTCCAATGTGCACAAGTTGTCTTCATATTGGTGTGGTAGAAACAACAACACTCCCATTCTCATGCAACACACCATTTTTAGAGGGAATGATGCCATGAGTGAAGGCATACAAAAGGAATAATTTTTTAACATTTTTTATTTTTTTTTTTATTATCACACCGGCCGATTCCCACCAAGGCAGGGTGGCCCGAAAAAGAAAAACTTTCACCATCATTCACTCCATCACTGTCTTGCCAGAAGGGTGCTTTACACTACAGTTTTTAAACTGCAACATTAACACCCCTCCTTCAGAGTGCAGGCACTGTACTTCCCATCTCCAGGACTCAAGTCCGGCCTGCCGGTTTCCCTGAATCCCTTCATAAATGTTACTTTGCTCACACTCTAACAGCACGTCAAGTATTAAAAACCATTTGTCTCCATTCACTCCTATCAAACACGCTCACGCATGCCTGCTGGAAGTCCAAGCCCCTGCACACAAAACCTCCTTTACCCCCTCCCTCCAACCCTTCCTAGGCCGACCCCTACCCCGCCTTCCTTCCACTACAGACTGATACACTCTTGAAGTCATTCTGTTTTGCTCCATTCTCTTTTACATGTCCGAACCACCTCAACAACCCTTCCTCAGCCCTCTGGACAACAGTTTTGGTAATCCCGCACCTCCTCCTAACTTCCAAACTACGAATTCTCTGCATTATATTCACACCACACATTGCCCTCAGACATGACATCTCCACTGCCTCCAGCCTTCTCCTCGCTGCAACATTCATCACCCACGCTTCACACCCATATAAGAGCGTTGGTAAAACTATACTCTCATACATTCCCCTCTTTGCCTCCAAGGACAAAGTTCTTTGTCTCCACAGACTCCTAAGTGCACCACTCACTCTTTTTCCCTCATCAATTCTATGATTCACCTCATCTTTCATAGACCCATCCGCTGACACGTCCACTCCCAACTATCTGAATACGTTCACCTCCTCCATACTCTCTCCCTCCAATCTGATATTCAATCTTTCATCACCTAATCTTTTTGTTATCCTCATAACCTTACTCTTTCCTGTATTCACCTTTAATTTTCTTCTTTTGCACACCCTACCAAATTCATCCACCAATCTCTGCAACTTCTCTTCAGAATCTCCCAAGAGCACAGTGTCATCAGCAAAGAGCAGCTGTGACAACTCCCACTTTGTGTGTGATTCTTTATCTTTTAACTCCACGCCTCTTGCCAAGACCCTCGCATTTACTTCTCTTACAACCCCATCTATAAATATATTAAACAACCACGGTGACATCACACATCCTTGTCTAAGGCCTACTTTTACTGGGAAAAAATTTCCTCTTTCCTACATACTCTAACTTGAGCCTCACTATCCTCGTAAAAACTCTTTCACTGCTTTCAGTAACCTACCTCCTACACCATACACTTGCAACATCTGCCACATTGCCCCCCTATCCACCCTGTCATATGCCTTTTCCAAATCCATAAATGCCACAAAGACCTCTTTAGCCTTATCTAAATACTGTTCACTTATATGTTTCACTGTAAACACCTGGTCCACACACCCCCTACCTTTCCTAAAGCCTCCTTGTTCATCTGCTATCCTATTCTCCGTCTTACTCTTAATTCTTTCAATTATAACTCTACCATACACTTTACCAGGTACACTCAACAGACTTATCCCCTATAATTTTTGCACTCTCTTTTATCCCCTTTGCCTTTATACAAAGGAACTATGCATGCTCTCTGCCAATCCTAGGTACCTTACCCTCTTCCATACATTTATTAAATAATTGCACCAACCACTCCAAAACTATATCCCCACCTGCTTTTAACATTTCTATCTTTATCCCATCAATCCCGGCTGCCTTACCCCCTTTCATTTTACTACTGCCTCACGAACTTCCCCCACACTCACAACTGGCTCTTCCTCACTCCTACAAGATGTTATTCCTCCTTGCCCTATACACGAAATCACAGCTTCCCTATCTTCATCAACATTTAACAATTCCTCAAAATATTCCTTCCATCTTCCCAATACCTCTAACTCTCCATTTAATAACTCTCCTCTCCTATTTTTAACTGACAAATCCATTTGTTCTCTAGGCTTTCTTAACTTGTTAATCTCACTCCAAAACTTTTTCTTATTTTCAACAAAATTTGTTGATAACATCTCACCCACTCTCTCATTTGCTCTCTTTTTACATTGCTTCACCACTCTCTTAACTTCTCTCTTTTTTCTCCATATACTCTTCCCTCCTTGCATCACTTCTACTTTGTAAAAACTTCTCATATGCTAACTTTTTCTCCCTTACTACTCTCTTTACATCATCATTCCACCAATCGCTCCTCTTCCCTCCTGCACCCACTTTCCTGTAACCACAAACTTCTGCTGAACACTCTAACACTACATTTTTAAACCTACCCCATACCTCTTCGACCCCATTGCCTATGCTCTCATTAGCCATCTATCCTCCAATAGCTGTTTATATCTTACCCTAACTGCCTCCTCTTTTAGTTTATAAACCTTCACCTCTCTCTTCCCTGATGCTTCCTATTCTCCTTGTATCCCATCTACCTTTTACTCTCAGTGTAGCATACAACTAGAAAGTGATCTGATATATCTGTGGCCCCTCTATAAAACATGTACATCCTGAAGTCTACTCAACAGTCTTTTTATCTACCAATACATAATCCAACAAAATACTGTCATTTTCGCCCTACATCATATCGTGTATACTTATTTATCCTCTTTCTTAAAATAATGTATTACCTATAACTAAACCCCTTTCTATACAAAGTTCAATCAAAGGGCTCCCATTATCATTTACACCTGGCACCCCAAACTTACCTACCACACCCTCCTCTAAAAGTTTCTCCTACTTTAGCATTCAAGTCCCCTACCACAATTACTCTCTCACTTGGTTCAAAGGCTCCTATACATTCACTTAAAATCTCCCAAAATCTCTCTCTCTCCTCTGCATTCCTCTCTTCTCCAGGTGCATACACGCTTATTATGACCCACTTCTCGCATCCAACCTTTACTTTAATCCACATATAATTCTTGAATTTACACATTCATATTCTCTTTTTCTCCTTCCATAACTGATCATTTAACATTACTGCTACCCCTTCCTTTGCTCTAACTCTCTCAGATACTCCAGATTTAATCCCATTTATTTCCCCCACTGAAACTCTCCTACCCCCTTCAGCTTTGTTTCGCTTAGGGCCAGGACATCCAACTTCTTTTCATTCATAACATCAGCAATCATCTGTTTCTTGTCATCCGCACTACATCCACGCACATTTAAGCAACCCAGTTTTATAAAGTTTTTCTTCTTCTCTTTTTTTAGTAATTGTATACAGGAGAAGGGGTTACTAGCCATTGCTCCCGGCATTTTAGTCGCCTCATACGACACGCATGGCTTACGGAGGAAAGATTCTTTTCCACTTCCCCATGGACAATAGAAGAAATAAAAAAGAACAAGAGCTATTTAGAAAAAGGAGAAAAACCTAGATGTATGTATATATATATATGCATGTGCGTGTCTGTGAAGTGTGACCAAAGTGTAAGTAGGAGTAGCAAGATATCCCTGTTATCTTAGCGTGTTTATGAGACAGAAAAAGAAACCAGCAATCCTACCATCATGCAAAACAGTTACAGGTTTTTGTTTCACAGTCATCTGGCAGGACGGTAGTACTTCCCTGGGTGGTTGCTGTCTACCAACCTACTACCTAACATTACCCCTAGTAATACTGTAGTGTACACAGTTTCTCTGGTATCGAACTAAATAAGGTAATTCTTGCTGTTACTCCTTCAAGCTGCCCAGCTACGACATCTCATATTTATGTGAATTTGTTCTATGTAACATGTAATTTTCAAAAAATAGAGATGGATTAATGATAATGTCTATACTAATGTAATATACGACATTTAAAGTGCCCCAGATAATTTATTATTATTGTTGTTGTTGTTTTTTTTTTTCAACAAGTCGGCCGTCTCCCACCGAGGCAGGTGATCAAAAAAAAAAAAAAAAAAAATCCACAAAAAGAAAATACTTTCATCATTCATTACTTTCACCTCACTCATACATAATCACTGTCTTTGCAGAGGTGCTCAGATATGACAGTTTAGAAGTTCCTCCAAACTGTCAATATCCCAGACCTTCCTTTAAAGTGCAGGCATTGTACTTCCCATTTCCAGGACTCAAGTCTGGCTAAATCTATAATAACCTGTTTCCCAGAGTCCCTTCATTAAATATTACCCTGCTCACACTCCAACAGCTCATCAAGTCCCAAAAACCATTTGTCTCCATTTACTCCTCTCTGACACACACTCATACACTTGCTGGAAGTCCAAGCCCCTCGCCCACAAATCCTCCTTTACCCCCTCTCTCCAACCTTTTCGAGGACAACCCCTACCCCTCCTTCCTTTCCCTACAGATTTATACACTCTCTGAGTCATTCTACTTTGATCCATTCTCTCTAAATGACTGAACCACCTCAACAACCCCTCTTCAGCCCTCTGACTAATACTTTTAGTAACTCCTTACCTCCTCCTAATTTCCACACTCCAAATTCTCTGCATAATATTTACACCACACATCGCCCTTAGACAGGACATGTCTACTGCCTCCAACCGCCTCCTCACTGCAGCACTTACAACCCATTTTGTCTCCACATATACCTCAATGCACCACTCACCTTTTTTCCCTCATCAATTCTATGATTAACCTCATCCTTCATAAACCCATCCACTGACAAGTCAACTCCCAAATATCTGAAAACATTCACTTCCATACTCCCTTTCTCCAGTGTGATACCTAGTTTTTCTTTATCTAAATCATTTGATACCCTCATCACCTTACTCTTATCTATGTTCACTTTCAACTTTCTACCTTTACACACCCTCCAAAACTCACCTACTAACCTTTGTAACTTTTTTTTAGAATCTCCCATAAGCACAGTATTATCAGCAAAAAGTAGTTTAGTCAACTCCCATTATTATTAGTATTATTATTATGGGGTCTTCAACACTAGTTTATCCGCCTATAATATGTATTCAGAAATGATAGCAGACATAAGATAAGATAAAATCATAATAAAGACTGCCAAAATAATAATAATTGGTATATTATAGAGAGGGGGTGGGTGGCTGTGGCAGCCAGCAGTCTACTCAAGTATCTGACCACAAAAAGATAATTACATTCTCCCTTTGGTACCTCTGGTCTCATACTTAGGAAAATGGTATAATACACAGGGGAAATTATAAGAAATCACTTATATTGCATAGAAAAAGTCAAAAGTAGCACGATTTTTGCGATAATTTTTTTTTTTTTCATTTTTACATAATCAGGTGGGCGCGCGTTTACCCTAATATCTCGGAAGTAAGATTTTGGCCTATTTCATGTGATAGCTCCATTATTAATGACTATATTGAAATGATTTTCGCAGGGGACATAAAACAAAGTGTGTTTGAATATCTGATGAATCAACTTTTGGAATATCTCAAATATTTTTGATTTTGTGTGGGGTAATGAATTCACAAACACATGAAATACAACACAAGGAGTTCACAGCGAATGAATGAATGTCTAACTGTGACTGACTACAAGGCGAGGGTCTTTGTTAGGTGTGTACAAACAACAGAAGTGGGGAAATTGACTCGTGCAAAAAAAAAAAAAGGCACGGAATGTGAAAATTGGCACAGCTGTGTTTGTTCGGCACCCGATTATGTGTTTGTGACCAGATGCAAAAATTTGGCAAATTTTTTGGTTGTGAACTGATTTGTTCGTGTTCGGAAGTGTTCATGACCAGAGGTTCCACTGTACCTGGCCATATGGGCGGGTGTGAATGATGGTGAAAGTTTCTTTTTCGAGTCACCCTGCCTTGGTGGGAGACAGCCAGTGTGTTAAGAAACTATCAGCAAATCAGGGACACTGAAGACTATTTTTAAATTTCCTTTGAAAATTTAATATTTCTCATGAATTTTAATCATTCAAATTTAATAAATGGAAAAAGGATTCAAACAGACTATTCTGTTTTTAGTTAATTCAAATATTATTTTGTGTTTGTTCTTTTCTTTGCAGTACCTTGCTAGCCCCTGTTCGTGACATGGATCCTGTCAGAAACAACCAGGTGGTGACTGTAAGATTCCGTGACCCTGAATATCCTAAAGGCTTTGTTTTTCCAGCCAGAAGGCTTGAAAAAGCAGAGGAACCGCCACGTGTCCTAAAACCACAGGATCTGTCAGCATTGGAATCCAAAAATTACCGACCGCAGATTGGCTTCAAGAGGAACATGCCCAGAGCATCTCTCGATATATCTGGCCACAGAGTTCTTAGGTGAGTGATTTAAAAGTTACTTTTGGTTAATTCAGACATATTTTGGAAACAAATTCCTTTCACTAATAATTCAGTATATCACACTATTAATGACATATGTAGTTAAAGGTTTTTATTGCATTTGTAAAACTTTTAAACTAAAATATGTTTGAATTGTGGGGTATTGTTGAGGTTTTAAACACAAAAAGAATTATTGCTCCTAATGCTAAAAATAGCTATTTATATTTTATAAGAATTTTGTTGTGTTTAAAATCTTAATGTTATTAGAGTGCCTTTCTGTTATAGTGAATTATATATTTGGGTCCAATTTTTTATCTTAGATAAGTGAGATAATTCATGATAGTGAATGGCATATTTTTTTTAGTGTTAAATAAATTTTTATATCTCCTCTTGGTATGTTTTATTATTCCCATTGAGGAGTTTAAAAAGAGTAACAAGAGAGCCAGCATGCATCTTAACCTGCCGTCCTCCTGCAGCCACCTCCTGCCGAACCTTCATGGTGGAGGGCTGTACAGCAACAACGTGCCGCTTCTGCAGGGTGCCCGAGGAGGGCAGGGGCTTCTAGGAGCAGGTCCAGGGCTTCTTCCAACACCGCCAAGACCAGGGGGTTTCCTGGGTCCAGGTCCAGGTGGTCCATGTCTAGGTGGCCCAGGAGCCTTCATTGGTCCTGGACTAGGTCAAGGTCTTCCAGGAACAGGACCAGGACAAGGGGGTCTCCTAGGCTCAGGACCTGGAGTGCAAGGAAACCTCATAGGATCAAGTTTTGGAGTCCAGAGAGATGCTGTTGGGTCAGTACTAGGGCATGGAAAACCAGATAAACCTGGAAAGGTACGTGGTGGCCTTCTTGGATTGGGACCACAACAGCAAGGCATACTAGGAAATGGATCTCAACAAGGATGGTCATTTAACTCAGCACATCAGGGAAACCAACAGGGAGGATTGCTTGGATCAGGTCCACAGCAGGATGGAATGCTTGGAAGGGGTAAGCAGATGGGAGGTCTATTAGGCTCGGAACCATGCATTGAAGATGTATACAGAAGGCGAAGCCAACTAGACTCAGCACCACAACATGAGAATAGATATGGAAGGGGTAACCAAATGGGAAGTCTACTTGGGTCATCTCCACAAGAAGATATGTATGGAAGGGGAAACCAAATGGGAGGTCTACTAGGATCATCCCCACAACAAGAAGATGTATATGGAAGAGAGAACCATAAAAGAAGTTTACTTGGGTCATCCCCACATCAGGAAGATATGTATGGAAGGGGAAAACAAATGGGAAGCCTACTAGGATCATCCCCACAAGAAGATATGTATGGAAGAGGGAACCAAATGGGAAGTCTACTAGGATCGTCCCCACAACAGGAAGATATGTATGGAAGAGGATCAAAACAGGGAAGTCTTCTTGGGTCAGGACCCATCCAGAGAAATCCTTACAAAATGAACTTTGAAGAGGGGAGTCTACTCGGAGCAGGACCAGATGAAGATTATTACGAGTCTGATACGGAACAAGGAGGACTTCTCGGCATGTCCCCGACTATGAGGTTGCATTATATAAATCAAGTCTCCTTTTTTTATCATGGTCAAACCTTATTAATCTAACCATAAAGCATACAAAACAGCTTTCAACAGCTTTCAGATGTTTTGAAATAATGCATAGATTTTCAACTCCTTTCTTTAATAACACACTAGTGCTCAAGGTGACTTTAATAAGGTTTTACTACAACAATGCCATATCACCTATCATGAATCTAAATATTGAGGTACAGTAATTGAGCTTGAAATTGACCCAGAAAATAATGATAATGATATTTTAGTATTGTAACATTAACAAAATAATAAATTTTCCACATAGTCACCACGTGAATCGTGGGGGAGGAGGAGGAGGAAGGCAGTACAGCAATGTACCTCCTCCGCAGTTTGGTAGAGGAGGTGGGAGTAGAGGTCTTCTGGGAGCTCTGCCAACTGCCAACTTCCCAATGATGAGCCAATCCTCAAATTATTCTAGGTAAATACTCCGTTATTCTTTTCATTTTGTCCCTCTCAATGGATGTGTTGGTGAAAGGCTCTTGATTTAAGAAATTGGACCTATCCTCCTGTTCCTTGGATCAAACCTGATTGCTTTTCATTCACTTGGAGATGTATAAACCCCCTATGTGTTAAACAAATCCCAGTCATGATAATATTAATAACAGTTTACTTTACATTTATAGGTTTCATTTTAAAGCTGTGGTGTCTTTTTCTGTTTCATAAACATGCAAGGTTGCAGGTATGTCTTGCTACTTCTACTTTGGTCACACTATACATGCATGTACAAGTATATATATACTAATCCCTCTGGGTTTTCTTCCATTTTCTTTCTAGTTCTTGTTTATTTCTTATCTCCATGGGGAAGTGGAACAGAATTCTTCCTCTGTAAGCTGTATGTGTCATAGGAGGTGACTAGATGCCAGGAGCAATGGGCTATTAACCCCTTCTTCTGTATAAATTACTAAAAGGAAGAAAAAGAAGAACTTTATAAAATTGGGATGTTTGAATGTGCATGGTTGTAGTGCAGATGATAAGAAAGAAGTGATTGCAAATGTTATGAATGAAAAAAAGTTGGATGTCCTAGCCCTAGGCAAAACACAGCTGAAGGGGGTAGGGGAGTTTCAGTGGGGAGAAATAAATGGGATTAAGTCAGGAGTATCTGAGAGAGTTAGAGCTAAGGAAGGGGTAGCAGTAATGTTAAAGGATCAGTTATGGAGAGAGAAGAGAGAATATAAATGTATAAACTCAAGGATTATGTGGATTAAAATAAGGGTCAGATGTGAAAAGTGGGTCATAATAAGTGTGTATGCATCTGGAGAAGAGAGGAATGTAGAGGAGAGAGAGAGAGATTTTGGGAGATGTTAAGAGAATGTGTAGGAACTTTTGAGCCAAGTGAAAGAGTAATTGTGGTAGGGGACCTAAATGCTAAAGTAGGAGAAGCATGTAGAGAGGGTGTGGTAGGTAAGTTTAGGGTGCCAGGTGTAAATGATAATGGGGAGCATTTGATTGAACTTTGTATAGAAAAGGGTTTGGTTATAGGTAACACATATTTTAAGAAAAAGAGGATAAATAAGTATACAAGATGTGATGTAGGGCAAAATGAGAGTAGTTTGTTGGACTATGTATTGGTAGATAATAGACTGTTGGGTAGACTTCAGGATGTACATGTTCATAGAGAGGCCACAGATATATCAGATCACTTTTTAGTTGTAGCTATGGTGAGAGTAAAAAGTAGATGCGATACAAGGAAAATGGAAGCAGCAAGTAAGAGAGAAGTGAAGGTTTATAAAATAAAGGAGGAGGCAGTTAGGGTAAGATATAAACAACTGTTGGTGGACAGATGGACTAGTGAGAATACAGGCAATGGGGTAGATGTATGGGGTAAATTTAAGAATATAGTGTTAGTGTGTTCAGCAGAAGTTTGTGGTTACAGGAAAGTGGGTGCGAGTGTGAGAGGGAAGAAGAGTGATTGGTGGAATGATGATGTAAAGAGAGTAGTAAGATAGAAAAAGTTAGCATATTAGAGGTTTTTACAAAGTAGATGTGATGCAAGGAGGAAGGAGTATATGGAGAGAAAAAGAGGTTAAAAGAGTGGTGAAGCAATGTAAAAAGAGAAAAATGAGAGAGTGGGTGAGATGTTATCAGCAAATTTTGTTGAAAATAAGAAAAAGTTTTGGAGTGAGATTAATAAGTTGAGAAAGCCTAGGAAAAGAATGGATTTGTTAGTTAAAAATAGGAGAGGAGAGTTAGAGGTATTGGGAAGATGGAGGGAATATTCTGAGGAATTGTTAAATGTTGATGAAGATAGAGAAGCTGTGATTTCGTGTATAGGGTAAGGAGGAATAACATCTTATTGGAGTAAGGAAGAACCAGTTGTGAGTGTAGGGAAAGTGCATGGGGCAGTGAGTAGAATGAAAGGGGGTAAAGCAGCTGGGATTGATGGGATAAAGATTGAAATATTAACCCTTTAACTGTTTCGGTCGTATACATACTTCTTACGAGCCACTGTGTTTGACGTATATATACTCAAATTCAAGTGGCTTCAGATCAAGCAAGAGAAAGCTGGTAGGCCCACATGTGAGAGAATGGGTCTGTGTGGTCAGTGTGTACCATATAAAAAAAATCCTGCAGCACACAGTGCATAATGAGGAAAAAAGAACTCCAACCGTTTTTTTTAATTAAAATGCCAAATTTGTGGTCTAGTTTCGTATAATATTTATGGTTGTATTCTCGTTTTCTTGGTCTCATTTCATTGAATGGAAAACATATTATAGAAATGGAGGTGATTTTGATTGGTTTTACTAAGAAAAGAACCTTGAAATGGAGCTCAAAGTAGGGGAAATGTTTGATTTTTGCCGATGTTCAAAAGTAAACAACTGATGTCATTTTCCAATAAATGTCCAACTAGCCATTCTAATATGCAGTCATGAATGGGATGATATTATTTATACAATTATTACAATATTACAGTAGTCTGCATAACAGTAAATCTTCTATTTTTTTTTGTTTGAATAAAAATTCAAAATAGAAAGCAAGAGTAATATCAGAGGGGCCTGGAGATGTGACTGATGAACAAAGAAAATGTTATTTTAGAGCCAGGAATGTCTGCATTGTTTATTCTGGACCCTGTTTTGAAATTGTCATACATGTATTTTTTAATTTTCATGAAATTGGCCAAATTGCAAATTTCTGACCACATAATTGGGTAGTTGAAATCGGTAAATGGGCAGTTTCTTGTACTCAGTCGATAGAAAAAATGGAGTTCTAAAGAAATAGCTATAAGTTTGGTCGACTGGAACAATGGAGTTAGCCAAAAATAGGGCTCAAAGTGGGCGAAATAGCCGATTCATAAATATTGCAGAAGTCGCTAACTTCGCGAGAGCGTAATTCTGTTATTTTTCCATCAAATTTCATTCTTTTGGTGTCATTAGAGTCGGGAAAAGATTCTCTTATAATTTCATAAGAAAAAATAATTGGGGGGGAATTTTGCGACACCAGGAGACACCTCAGGATTGGGGCTTGTGACAGTCAAAGGGTTAAAAGCAGGTGGGGATATAGTTTTGGAGTGGTTAATGTTTTTATTTAATAAATGTATGGAAGAGGGTAAGGTGCCTAGGGATTGGCAGAAAGCATGCATAGTTCCTTTGTATAAAGGCAGAGTGTAAAAATTATAGGGGAATAAGTCTGTTGAGTATACATACCTGGTAAAGTGTATGGTAGAGTTATCATTGATAGAATTATGAGTAAGGCGGTGAGCAGGATAGCAGATGAAGAAGGTGGCTTTAAGAAAGGTAGGGGATGTGTAGAGCAAGTGTTTGCAGTGAAACACATAGGTGAACAGTATTTAGATAAGGGTAAAGAGGTTTTTATGACATTTATGGATTTGGAAAAGGCATATGATAGGGTGGATAGGGACACAATGTAGCAGATGTTACAAATGTATGGAATTGGAGGTAGGTTATTGAAAGTGGTGAAAAGTTTTTATGAGGATAGTGAGGCTCAGGTTAGTGTGTGAAGGCAAGAGGGGGATCATTTCCAAGTAAAAGTAGGCCTTAGACAGGGATGTGTGATGTCACCGTGGTTGTTCAATATATTTATAGATGGAGTAGTAAGAGAAGTGAATGCTCAGGTGTTGGTAAGAGGTGTGGGGTTAAAAGATAAAGAATCTAACACAGAGTGAGAGTTGTCACAGTTGCTTTTTGCTGATGACACTGTGCTTTTGGGAGATTCTGAAGAGAAGTTGCAGAGGTTGGTTGATGAATTTGGCAGGGTATGTAAAAGAAGAAAATTAAAAGTGAATGTAGGAAAGAGTAAGGTGATGAGGATAACAAAAAAAAAATTAGGTATTGGAAGATTGGATATCAGATTGGAGGGAGAGAGTATGGAGGTGAATGTATTCAGATATTTGGGATTGGATGTGTCAGCAGATGGGTCTGTGAAGGATGAGGTGAATCATAGAATTGTTGAGAGGAAAAAGGTGAGTGGTGCACTGTCGGTATTTTATACCTTTCTTGCACAGAGACAAAGAACTTGATCCATGAAAGCAAAGAGGGGAATATATGAGAGTATAGTTATACCAACACTCTTGTATGGGTGTGAGGCATGGGTTGTAAATGTTGCAACAAGGAGAAGGCTGGAGGCAGTGGAGATGTCATGTCTGAGGGCAATGTGTGGTGTGAATATAATGCAGAGAATTTGTAGTTTGGAGATTAGGAGGAGGTGTGGGATTACCAAAACTATTATCCCGAAGGCTGGGGAGGGGTTATTGAGGTGGTTTGGACATGTAGAGAGGGTGGAATGCAATAGAATGACTTCGAGAGTATACAAATCTGTAGTGGAGGGAAGGTGGGTTAGGGGTCAGCCTAGGAAAGGTTGGAGGAGGGGGTAAAGGAGGTTTTGTGTGCGAGGGGCTTGGACTTCTGGCCAGCGTGCATGTGCGTGTTAGACAGGAGCAAATGGAGACAAATGGCTTTTAGGACTTGTTGTGCTGTTGGAGTGTAAGCAAGGTAACATTTATGAAGGGGTTCAGGGAAACCGGCAGGCCGGACTTGAGTCCTGGAGATGGGAAGTACAGTGTCTGCACACTGAAGGAGGGGTGTTAATATTGTAGTTTTATAACTGTAGTGTAGGCATGCCTCTGGCAAAACGGTAGAGTGAATAATGATGAAAGTCTTTCTTTTTTGGGCCACCCTGCCTTGGTGGGAAGCGGCCGATATGTTAATAAATAAATATATTAAGGATTAAGGAGTTTATTTCCTTGCATAGTTTACAATGTGTAATTACAATATTGATTTGCTAAGTGCAGAGAAAACCACTATCATGTCGAGGCATTTCGGGCAGACTAAACCTAATGCTTTACAGACTACTTAATACTAGACATTTATATCATAGTTGGTTCAAATTGAACATTGTTCTGTATATATCAACAGATGTAGTAGTGGTTTAACAGTAATTAAATTAACAAGTAGTTGAATAACAAGTTACAGAATTATATTTTAGCACATTATACATAATGAGATTGAGACCTTTTTAGTTTTGATAAATGGTTTAAAAAACTGACAAATTGAAGATTGAGGCACTTATGCAACATATGGGAATCTTTATTGAGGAAACTTTTCACCACACAGTGGCTTCATCAGTCCAATACAAATCAGAAGGGTGTAAGGAGAGGAAGAGTTTGAGGTATTCAGTCCCCCAGCCTGGAGTCGATGTGTTCAGTCCATCAATCTTGTAGAAAGTACAGCATAGGGCAGTAGACATGGCTTATATACTATGGCTTATGCTATACTTTCTACAAGATTGATGGACTGAACACATCGACTCCAGGCTGAGGGACTGATTACCTCAAACTCTTCCTCTCCTTACACCCTTCTGATTTGTATTGGACTGATGAAGCCACTGTGGGGCAAAACGTTCCCTCAATAAAGATTCCCATATATTGCATAAGTATCTCAATCTTAATTTTAGTTTTGAAATAATCTTGTAAAATTTGGCAGTTTTTTAGTTGTTGGTGGTGATAGTATATAGTGTTTGTGTTGTTAATTTTGGGAGAATTGGTGTGCAGACAGGGGCCCTTTTGTATTTTCAGGCATTGAATTCCAGATCTTAGGGCCCTTTATATGCATAGCATTTTTGTATATGGAGAGATGGACACAAGGAATATCAAAGAGTGCTTTGTGTCTTGTGTTATGCAAGTGTGTTCTGTTGTAGTTCTCAAGAAGGAGTTTGAGGGGAGGGTTTATATTGGAGAATAATGTTCTGTGTATGTAGTAAGCACAATATATAAGTGGATATTTTGTATGTTAAGCAGGTTCAAGCTCTTAAATAGCGGTGGGTTGTGTTGCCTGGCGCAGGAGTTTATCATTCTCACAGCAGCTTTCTGTTGTATAATTAAAGGTTTAAGGTGATTTGCTGTGGTTGAACCCCATATACAAATAACATAGGTGAGGTAAGGGTAGATGAGAGTGGTAAAGAGCAAGTAATGCCGTTTAGGGTACATAGTACCATATCTTAGAGAGGATGCCTACTGTTTTAGAGATTTTTGGGGAAATGTGCTGTATGTGGGTCTAAAATTTGAGACAACCGTCAATGTGGAGCCCTAGAAATTTTCCGTCAGTGTGTCTTGAAATGAGGGAACCATTTATTGATATGTTTAGCTGAATATTTGCAGCTCTGTTTCCAAACAGTAGGAAGTAGGTTTTGCCGATATTGAGAGTAAGTTTGTTGGCTGTCATCCAAGCAGCTCATCATTTACAGTGTTTCTAAGTATGGTTTGGTTTGGGTGAGAGAAGATATTGGTAGTGTCATCTGCAAAAAGAACAGTTTTAAGTAGTTTGAAGGCATTAGGAAGGTCACTGATGTAAATGAGAAAGAGTAGTGGTCCAAGGACACTGTCCTGGGGGACTCCAACTAAAACAGGTTGTGTGGTGGAGGCAACACCATTTGTGTATACATACTGGTGTCTATTGCTAAGATATGATTTTAGGTAATTGAGTGAGTGTCCTCTCAGAGATTGTGACCCTTTACCTTAAGGCATAACTAATCTTAAATATATATGAGTTAGCAGGACAGCACGTGAGGAACTCTGGTAGCAATGAGAAACAAATAGTAACAAAAAACTGTAAAAATAGATCAACTTTATGTAATTGCATATTTGAGTATACAAGGGTTCAGTGCCAGCTATTGGTTCTGTCCCTTCAACTTTCAGCTGATTGCAGTGAAATACAATAGGGCCATGAGTTACGATGCTCTGCACTTAGGATACTGACACTGGAGCCAATTGAAAGCGTGAACAGTGATCAGCAGTTTTGATCATTGCAAATATTCAGACAAATTATTTTAAATGTTTTTCTCAGTTTTTTACTAGATGCATTTATACTTTGTCTGTGTTCATTATATGCATATGTAGAGAGTTCATATTCATTGTATAGAGATATTTTAAGAGCTGTAGATTTAATATGGGTGTGAAGCGTGGGTGATGAATGTTGCAGCGAGGAGAAGGCTGGAGGCAGTGGAGATGTCATGTCTGAGGGCAATGTGTGGTGTGAATATAATGCAGAGAATTCGTAGTTTGGAAGTTAGGAGGAGGTGCGGGATTACCAAAACTGTTGTCCAGAGGGCTGAGGAAGGGTTGTTGAGGTGGTTCGGACATGTAGAGAGAATGGAGCGAAACAGAATGACTTCAAGAGTGTATCAGTCTGTAGTGGAAGGAAGGCGGGGTAGGGGTCGGCCTAGGAAGGGTTGGAGGGAGGGGGTAAAGGAGGTTTTGTGTGCGAGGGGCTTGGACTTCCAGCAGGCATGCGTGAGCGTGTTTGATAGGAGTGAATGGAGACAAATGGTTTTTAATACTTGACGTGCTGTTGGAGTGTGAGCAAAGTAACATTTATGAAGGGATTCAGGGAAACCGGCAGGCCGGACTTGAGTCCTGGAGATGGGAAGTACAGTGCCTGCACTCTGAAGGAGGGGTGTTAATGTTGCAGTTTAAAAACTGTAGTGTAAAGCACCCTTCTGGCAAGACAGTGATGGAGTGAATGATGGTGAAAGTTTTTCTTTTTCGGGCCACCCTGCCTTGGTGGGAATCGGCCGGTGTGATAATAAAAAAAAAAAAAAAAAAAAGATTTAATATTTACATTAGTTTTTCAAATGCAGTGGTAGTTTGTGTTTGTTTTATACATGTGTGGCAGGCATTGGTTAAAAACTGTAAATTAAATAATTATTGCATGGTAGCCAATGCCACTTCTGCCAGCAAACTGAGTATCTTTGGTGGAAGAGGTGGACAGCAGCAGCTCACCCTACACACACACACTACTACTACTACCTTCCCACACTATATACCCATAACAGTGAGGGGGTGGTGAGCATATGTTGAATCTTGAGTTACATAAGATGCCAGAAGAGGTCAGAGTGAGTAAGGAGTGGGAAGTATTTTTTTATCAGATTTCTTCATTATTTTTCCTGAGATGTAAGGAATAGCTCCCAGTCTCTCTTCATAATTAACTCATTACTTGGGCATGGAAATCATGAAGGTGCAAATGAAGCAGTAGGCCAAGGGTTCCTTGCGATGGTTTAACTATCATAAATAAAAGCAATAATCACTTGTTTATACTTGGAAACATTAGCTTATCTTTAATTCTACAAGGGGTGAACTGGTAAGCCAGCAGAAAAGCTCCAGTGGTGGATCATTTCATAACTTAAGACTCACATCAGGAGGCATTTATCCAGTTTCCTGAGAAATTTTGCCTGACCTAACCAGAGAAACAAAGATTGTGTTAGAGTATTGAGGGATGCCTCAGCATATTGAGAGCATACAATTACAGTGGAACCTCTGTTTGCGAACATAATCTGTTCCAGAAAGTCGTTCTAAAACTGAAATGTGTGAAAAGCTGAATCAGTATTTCCCATAAGAAATAATATAAATACAATTAATCCATTCCAGACACCCAAAAATATTCACAAAAAAAAATAATTTTTTAAAGAATATGACACTATTATCAACTCTTCGGCTTATTTATCTATCAAAATTTATCTAATATGACATAATAAACAATATAAATAACATAGAAACCTGAAATACACTCTAGAATTAATAAAATGTCATTACGTATGTGGCTAGTGGTGGCGGAGGTGGAGAGTTTGTTTGGAGGCAGGACAAAATACTCCTTCATTATAACACTAATATCAACTTAACAGCTTATTTATCCATCACAATTGATCTAATTTGACATAATAAACAATATTAATAACATAGAAACATTGATAAATTAGACACATGTGCAACTCTTGGGTATCTTTATTAAGGAAACGTTTTGCCACACAGTGGCTTCATTAGTCCATACACAGGAGAAACTTGAAGAACAGGAGGAGAATGAGGTAATCAGTCCCTCAACCTTGAGTCGATGTGGTCAGTCCATCAATCTTGAATAGAATACAGCATATGAGCGGAGAAGCAGCTTATAAACCGTAGGCAGGAGAGGTGCAGCAGTTGTAGGTGGTGTCACATTTGCCCAGTGTGGAAGTAGGTCGTGCCCAAGGGTTAGGCAAGTGAAGAATTCCCAAGTATTAAGATCTCAAGAAGTTGCAGTGTCTGACAGGATTGTAGATGAATGGTTCACAGAACCGACACTTTGAAATGTTTTGGATGAATGCTCAACCAGTGACAGAGCCAGATTGATGCCATCGCGGGCGGGCGGACGTCTCTGATACGTATGATTTCTGGATTGAGATATGAAATCCAGACCAAAATTTCACCCCAAAAAGTGTTCTGAATCCAAATTGTACAACATGCAGACCGTACAAAGACCGGAGTTCCACTGTATTAGGAGACGGCCGACTTGTTGAAAAAAAAAAAAAAGTAATTGTTGCTATGATGGATGCTTCTTGCTATCTATACCTAGTAATAATCACTAGCATTCTTCCTTAAAAAGATATCAGTTGGTAAAGTTCATTTTGCTTCTGAATTTTTCATTGTGTATAAATGCAACTATGAAATTTATGCTAGTCAACTGCTGAAATTGCAATTACAATCAAACCTCGGTTTTTGTATGCCCTAATTTTTATGTAAAACTATAGTTATTCTCTATAAAATGTATTTTTTGTTAATATTTTTAAGTGTCTGGGATGGATTAATTGGATTTACATTATTTCTTACAGGAAGTATTGCTTCAGTTTTTGTACGATTCGGGTTTTCGTCAGACTTTTTCCAATGGATTAATCACGAAATCCAAGGTTCCACTGTATATCAGGACTATCCCCCCCCTCCCCACAAAAAAAAAGGAGCAGAAGAGATAAAAATGTAAATCTGGCAGTGTGGCAGGCTTGTTTTAAAGTTTTCTTCTTTTTCAGCTCACTTGGAAATAGCTATGGTAGTGGCCAAGGAAGTTACAGTGGAGGCAGACAGAGTCAGAATTACAATAATGGCTCTGGTTACAGTAACAGAAACCAAGGCGGCTACAACAGTAACCAGAGAAGCTATAATAGTAATCAGGGGGGTTACAATAGTAACCAAAGGTAAATTATAGTGTTTATTATATTGTTTTTGACTTCACATTTATACACTATCCTTTTTTTTAAATGCTTTACAGTTGTATTTGGGAGTAATACAGAATTCTGTGTTTTAGATTTTGGCTCATTTTCTATAGGAGACATTTCTTTAAATACGTGTATATTTCTAATACAGGTCGGCCATCAGTAATTTTATTATTTATTTTTTATTATCACACTGGCCAATTCCCACCAAGGCAGGGTGGCCCGAAAAAGAAAAAACTTTCACCATCATTCACTCCATCACTGTCTTGCCAGAAGGGTGCTTTACACTACAGTTTTTAAACTGCAACATTAACACCCCTCCTTCAGAGTGCAGGCGCTGTACTTCCCATCTCCAGGACTCAAGTCCGGCCTGCCGGTTTCCCTGAACCCCTTCATAAATGTTACTTTGCTCACACTCCAACAGCACGTCAAGTATTAAAAACCATTTGTCTCCATTCACTCCTATCGAACACGCTCACGCATGCCTGCTGGAAGTCCAAGCCCTCGCACACAAAACCTCCTTACCCCTCCCTCCAACCTTTCCTAGGCCGACCCCTACCCCGCCTTCCTTCCACTACAGACTGATACACTCTTGAAGTCATTCTGTTTCGCTCCATTCTCTCTATATGTCTGAACCACCTCAACAACCCTTCCTCAGCCCTCTGGACAACAGTTTTGGTAATCCCGCACCTCCTCCTAACTTCCAAACTACGAATTCTCTGCATTATATTCACACCACACATTGCCCTCAGACATGACATCTCCACTGCCTCCAGCCTTCTCCTCGCTGCAACATTCATCACCCATGCTTCACACCCATATAAGAGCGTTGGTAAAACTATACTCATACATTCCCCTCTTTGCCTCCAAGGACAAAGTTCTTTGTCTCCACAGACTCCTAAGTGCACCACTCACCCTTTTCCCCTCATCAATTCTATGATTCACCTCATCTTTCATAGACCCATCCGCTGACACGTCCACTCCCAGATATCTGAATACATTCGCTTCCTCCATACTCTCTCCCTCCAATCTGATATCCAATCTTTCATCACCTAATCTTTTTGTTATCCTCATAACCTTACTCTTTCCTGTATTCACTTTTAATTTTCTTCTTTTGCATACCCTACCAAATTCATCCACCAACCTCTGCAACTTCTCTTCAGAATCTCCCAAGAGCACAGTGTCATCAAGAAAGAGCAACTGTGACAACTCCCACTTTGTGTGTGATTCTTTATCTTTTAACTCCACGCCTCTTGCCAAGACCCTCGCATTTACTTCTCTTACAACCCCATCTATAAATATATTAAACAACCATGGTGACATCACACATCCTTGTCTAAGGCCTACTTTTACTGGGAAATAATTTCCCTCTTTCCTACATACTCTAACTTGAGCTTCACTATCCTCGTAAAAACTCTTCACTGCTTTCAGTAACCTACCTCCTACACCATACACCTGCAACATCTGCAACATTGCCCCCCTATCCACCCTGTCATATGCCTTTTCCAAATCCATAAATGCCACAAAGACCTCTTTAGCCTTATCTAAATACTGTTCACTTATATGTTTCACAGTAAACACCTGATCCACACACCCCCTACCTTTCCTAAAGCCTCCTTGTTCATCTGCTATCCTATTCTCCGTCTTACTCTTAATTCTTTCAATAATAACTCTACCATACACTTTACCAGGTATACTCAACAGACTTATCCCCCTATAATTTTTGCACACTCTTTTATCCCCTTTGCCTTTATACAAAGGAACTATGCATGCTCTCTGCCAATCCCTAGGTACCTTACCCTCTTCCATACATTTATTAAATAATTGCACCAACCACTCCAAAACTATATCCCCACCTGCTTTTAACATTTCTATCTTTATCCCATCAATCCCGGCTGCCTTACCCCCTTTCATTTTACCTACTGCCTCACGAACTTCCCCCACACTCACAACTGGCTCTTCCTCACTCCTACAAGATGTTATTCCTTCTTGCCCTATACACGAAATCACAGCTTCCCTATCTTCATCAACATTTAACAATTCCTCAAAATATTCCCTCCATCTTCCCAATACCTCTAACTCTCCATTTAATAACTCTCCTCTCCTATTTTTAACTGACAAATCCATTTGTTCTCTAGGCTTTCTTAACTTGTTAATCTCACCATCAGTAATCCGACACTAATTTCAGCTAGCATAATTTCAAATTTCATCATTATACTGACTCAAATTTCATCATTATACTGACTCAAATTTCATCATTATACTGACTCAAATTTCATCATTATACTGACTCAAATTTCATCAATTATACTGACTCAAATTTCATCATTATACTGACTCAAATTTCATCATTATACTGACTCAAATTTCATCATTATACTGACTCAAATTTCATCATTATACTGACTCAAATTTCATCATTATACTGACTCAAATTTCATCATTATACTGACTCAAATTTCATCATTATACTGACTCAAATTTCATCATTATACTGACTCAAATTTCATCATTATACTGACTCAAATTTCATCATTATACTGACTCAAATTTCATCATTATACTGACTCAAATTTCATCATTATACTGACTCAGACATTGTGCAGATGGTTGTAAATTCACAGCAGCAAGCCAGTGGAGGAGAAAGCAGTGATGAAAATGAGGAAGATGTAGCAGAAAGAGTCTCTATTGATAGGTTAATTAAGTGTATTCTAACCTAACCACTCTATAATCCGGCAAACTCACTAATCCGGCACACTACAGGTCCCAATGATGCCAGATTAGTGATAGCAAGAAGTTTGAATTGAGCACATTTTGAACAAAATTGTGTGGTTAATTTTCAATTTGAATATAGTGTACTGAGCAAAACAAATGGGCTATGCTAAAATGTCACGAATAATCAAATCTGAGATGCCCTTCATTTAAAATATATTGCATATTTCCCACATGGTGCCTTGATGCTGGTGAGGGGCTCTTAATCCAAGGAACTAGACTAATTCTTCTCTTTGGATCAAACCTGAATACATTACCTTGAAGGGCTATATGACTTCTCCATGTTTAGCATTTTGCCCTAATTACATTAAATAAATGTACAGCACATTGTTTTTTACAGATCATTTTAAGGTTTTAAGAAATAGTTCTTTCAATCAGATAGTGCAACTGTTTACATGTGGATGGGCCATACTAGAGCATTGAAATAAGAATTTCACCATGTGTGAAAGCAGCAGTTGTGTAAGGATAACTGAGGACTGCTGGGGCCTTACTGTGCAAGTTTGCAACTGTACTTTGCTACACATGAATAAGTTGGTATAGCTTGGAACTTCAAAATACAGGGCAGGTGGTGTGGTCTCCACTGCTCCTTGCACTATGTTAACCCTTTGACTGTTTCGGTCGTATAAATACGTCTTACGAGCCAATGTTTCCGACATATTAATACGCGTAAATTCTAGCGGCTTCAAATCAAGCAAGAGAAAGCTGGTAGGCCTACATGAGAGAGAATGGGTGTGCACCCTGTGAAAAAAATCTGAGACTCAGTGGTGCATTGTGGGAACACCATCTTGGTAGTCCATTTTCACTCATGCCTCGCGGTAAGAAGTACCTCACTCCTCGGCGGATTGGAGGTCTACTGTTCCCAAGTGATAGTTCTAACAGCGATGGAAGTGCCAGTGAAAGTGAATTTCATGGTTTTAGAGGTGTGACCGAAAGCAGTGCCCAGGATAACGTAAATAGTGATGAAAACCCAGATGACCCACAACTGTCCACCTCTGGTGCTGGCACATCTCATTCATGTTCATCTGCACCAGGACGAAAAAGGAAACTGTTTCCCCGTTTACAGGACTCAGATCTGAGCAATGAAAGTGATAATGATAGTGATTTCAGAGTTATTGAAAGTGGCTCGAGCTGCGACAGTGAGGGGGGAATATTCGCCAGTGAAACGGCAGTATGTACAACGCAGCATGCATTCTGGTAGTGTGCCTTATGCCCTTCCAAGGCAAAGGAGTAAATCTGGGAGTACATCCCGTGGATCTACACCACGACCTGACAGTGAAGATGACGATATTGTTACAATGGGGATGTGTAATGTGCGTGGGGAAGAAGGTGATGGTGGTGGTGATGTTGGCGGTGGCACCAGCAGCGGGCCACGCTACTGACTCTGCACAAGCACAACCAGCCTCGCCCAACCCCACACTCCCACAACATCCACAACCACAACCACTTTTCAATATCCAGAACCCACCAGCAGACCACATCTGAGATTGGCAGCAAGGTGACAATTTTATTCCAAATCCCCATGACTTTGATGAAACACAAAGTGGAATACGGCCATCGTGTACACTTGGGAGCAATGCCACTGAACTAGAATGCTTTCAGTTATTCTTTGATGAACCCCTGATGGAAATTATTGTCAGGGAAAGCAACACATACTATGAGTACACTATGGCAAATACAATTCTTTCACCAAGGTCACGGCTACACCAGTGGAAGGACACAACTGTGGCAGAGATGTACCTGTTCTTTGCCACAATAATGCTTATGCTACATGTGTATAAGCACACTGTCACCACATACTGGTCGACAGAATGCCTAATTTCAACCCCAGGTTTTAGTGATATTATAGGAGTGAATCGTTTTTTGATACTCATACGTATGTTACACTTTTCAGACAAAACAAGGCCTTACAGAAGCGACAGGTTATATAAGATGAGAAATGTGTTTATGTACCTGAAACAAAAGTGTTGTATGTATTTTTATCCCTTCAGGAAGCTTGTTATTGATGAGTCTTTGATTTTGTTCAAAGGAAGACTCTCATTCAAGCAGTACATACCAAGCAAGAGGAAATGCTTTGGTATAAAGTTATTTGTACTGTGTGATTGCAAAAGTGGTCTGGTTTTGGATGTAATTGTGTACACTGGCAGTAATACATTGAGAGATACCAGGAAGTTATTGGGTATCTCTGGTGATGTGGTTCGAACAACGATGGA